TTGCACGTGCCGGTCGAATTCACTAAATAAATTAAACTCTCTTGGTTTGGTGTGATAGATGTAACGTAGAGAGTGTCGATATTATTTGTTTCTCAAAGAAAAAGAAAGGAAAGAACAAATGGGATGAAAGAGGGGGTATTTAGGTAATTTGAGCATGAAGTGGGCAATTGGGCAATGATGTTTTTTTCCTTTCCTTTCCATAGGTTTGCGGCTTTATACAGTGTCATCCAAGCATGCTTTAGTATGTGTATGAGCAAAAAAAAGTTTGAAATTTCCCTCTCAATTTTGTTCCTTTTGGACCAAAACATTCTCCCTTTTAGACCTGCCTTCTCCTCCTCCAATCTCTTTTTGCTTATTTAACATCCTACATTTATATTATTTCATTCTAAAAATGATTGGATATCTTATTCAATTGTTTAGATATTTGCATATTCTCATGAGTCTAAGATAAATGGTAGGCTTGAATTTCTACTCACTCATTTGGAATTCATGATCTAACATTAAAAAATTATTAAAAGTACACTTAATTTTAATGTCGCCCACTTTATAAATTAATTAGAAGTTTTTCAACACCAAATATATTGTATGATCAGACAAATGCCTCATGTGAGTCAAAAACTATGTAATAGCAATCTTAGTTAAGATGGTTAATGAAAATTTAGAATTAAAAGATATATAAAATGAAATATGAAAAAAGGTCCGAAAAAAATTATGATTGTGTAGGGGCAATTTCAACGGAGCGGCGGGAAGGGTGTTGGGCACGCGCGGCAAAAGAGCCGTGGCGACAGGAATTGGCCGAATACCCTTTTTCTTAATTCCAATAATACCCTTTCACAAAAGGACAATATCATACGTACACTGTCTTTTTCTATTTTTGTAAAAATTTGAAAATTTTTTAATTTCTTACGTAGTTTATTTAAGCACATAAATTTTAAAATATCATAGTCGGGTTAGATATCTATTTTGATTTATATAATTTTAAAATGTAACTATTTTGATTCTTTTATATCTATTATTATCCTATTTTTTAACTTTAATTTTAACATGAAATTTCATTCACTAAATTTTTTTTGAAATATAGTTATAAATTAATATTAAAAGGTTTCTATTATGTATAAAATTTGTAAATATGAATCAAATTGTTCAATTTTTTATAGCACGTAGAGAAAAACAGACATTTTAAAAATATATGGATAAAGTTGAAATAGCTGAACCAAAATCAGCCTTTTGGAAAGAAAATTAATGTATACCAAAATAGCATTAAAATGTTTCATTTATTAATTTATTAATTTTTGCGAAATGAACAGATTCTGTTGGAAAAGGACTCATATAGTTGGGTTTTGAAGAGGGAGTGAGCGAATGAGGAATGAATTGAATGAATGACAAAAAGCTTCGCCCATCAGATTTTCCAACTATTCAATTGTCTCTCTCATTTAATTTATCAATTCGACCCATCAATTCTCCTCTTTTATCTCTCTCTCTTCTCTTCTTTTCCTTTATTTTTTTTTTCTTTAAATTATGCGGGAAGAYAAATTATCACCGGTCACGTGTCAACGTCAAAGATCATGAATTATCATAATGAATAAAAGAACTAGATGAGTATTTTAATTCGGACAACTCCAGGCAGCTCGACAATTGAAGTCGAGTCGAACCATTTCTCATCTTTCGACCGAGCTTGAAGAGCACTTAAAGGTGCGAAGATGCAAGATACATTCTCCAACAAGGCACCACAATTCTCGAACGATTGAAGAGCCGTTGGAATGCTGTCGGAAGTCCTATCGAGAGCTCACCTCTRTAAATAGAGATTCCCTCCTCTCATGCAAGATCTTTTATGTATTACATTGTGAATTGTGATGGATATTTTATCATTAAAGAAAATTTTATTTTGCATATTTTGTATTGAAACTAAGCTAAACTAGAAATTTGGTCCATGGTACTAGAAAGGTAGATAGGTATTGATAAGTTTGAAACCTCCCATATATATATATTTTTTAAATCTACTTGATGAGGATTGATTGCTCCTACAAACAATTAATCTTGACAAATTTGATCTGGAACATAATATATTGCATTGTTATAAAGAATATTTATATGCTAAATGGATCATTCATGATCAGTCTTGTTAGCTTGGTCTAATTTGAGCTTTCTAAATTATTACTTTTTTTTAATGTAGATATCGATGGCAGTAATTGAATACTTTTAGGTTTTCTTTTTCTAAATAYATAATATAATATTACGAATATGGGATTGTAATTTGAATATTTGATTTATAAAATAAGTTAACGATCACCTAACTAATTAAATTAAATAGGTTATTTTTATATATTTATATCACACGAGGAAAACTTTAACAATTTGTTTTTTATAACCACAGTTAAGGTAGAACCCTTAACCAAGCATGCAACTCTCTCGCTAGAAAACACATGTTTGGAACTCAATTTATACAGGCCAGAGACGAGATGAACACCTCTCACGAATCCAACAGAAGTTCAGCTATCAAACCTTACCTGGAAATACAGATGCCACAAGCTTAAAATTTGCCAAACATTAGATATGAAACACTGAGATGACAAGACAACATTTTATAAAGCTCTACTATAGTCATATCTCATAAAAGGTACACAAATTCTACAAAACTCAATTAAGCTCAACTCAAATTAAGTATTTACTTAAGTCTCAAAGTGTACGTGATTGAATACCACATCGATTGATCGCTTGATTTGACGCACATCTCAAATTACAGTCGATCGACCTTCACCTCTCCTGTATCAACATCCAAAATTAATTCGAAAGAAAAATAAAAGTAAAACCAAATAACTACGTCTTATACTAGGATTTAAACTATTACCCGACTGTGACATTTGGAAATGTCTTTCAAATTTCTCTTGATTTGAGTAGATGTTTACTTTGGTTTAATTAAATTGATAAAAAAAAAAAGGCAAAAAAAACTAATTACAATGACAAAACCAACGGAAAAAAAAAAGAAAAAAGACATTTAATGGAAGTATATAAAGAAAGTTAATATTAAAGAATAAAAAGAAAAGTTAAAATTTGAGTGAAAATAGTCCAATGAGTGAGATGAGATGATTATGTTTTGAAACCTTATTCTTATCTTGAGAAATGCTTTATGTAGCATTAATTATACAAAGCAAATATCCATCATGGCACAGCTTTATTGAAGTCAAAATTTAAAGAGAGAGAGGGATATTCAATATTCCATGTAAAGAAATTATGGAAATATTTTCTGTACTCCAAAACTAATATATGTGTAAATTCGAAAAAGATGGATTTTGGAATTTTTTGATTTAATTCAAAAATGAGAGTGCTCATTAATGGACTACTATAGTAGGCAACTGAATTTTCTTGAACACAAATTATGAAAAAGCTGCCTCCCATGTCTCATGTCCAGGGTGCTCATTTATGATTCTGCATGTGTTACTTTTTTTCTTTATGTTTAAATTTTTAAACAAAATAATATTTGTGGTTATTTTTCAGTTAGTTTATACTTTATAGTAAAATCAAAAGAACGTACAACTACAATGAAAATGAAATCCTCTAATTCATACTTATCATAAAAGTACTAAAGGGACCAACAAAAAAGGATAACTTAAACAGTAAGGCTATAATAAATATAATCTAAGGGCTAGAGAATAAGCAAAGTAATTACTAGTGCAGGACAAATTATTTGATAACTACTGTAGTTATTTTTATTTAATTTGTTAGGGGTGAGAATCATGGCCCTCCCACCTCAAAACATGTGTCTGGACCTCAAATTGATCGGGTCGAGGATAAGAAGGAGCTAGCTAATGTAACGCAAATATAACTCAACCAAGATTTGACTTGGGAGGAAGATTATGTTGACTCAAGATCTCTAATAGTTGCTAATCAGAACATAGCCCAGTCGGTTAAGACACGTGTATCCAATCACCAGGTTGAAATATTGATTCTTCATCCCCACATGCTGTACTAAAAAAATCTCTAACCGTTAAAAATGTCAATGCTATTGGTACAGGATCTCCTAACTAAGCAACAAAATATCCATTTAATGACATGTACTAATCCTGCCACTACAGATTGTCACTTTCCAATACTCTCCGTATAAAAGCGGAGTCCACATTCTCAAAGGTACCTACGTAATTTCTTGCACTTAGTTAAGCTTGATTTAACACTAACTCGAACTGGATGCTAACTTAAGTTTTGGAATATATGTGACTGAGCACCACACCAATACAAAGTTCTATTTGTTGGTGGCTCATTAGCCAATTCACCTCGAATGGTTCGATGACATGTCACCTGGCCAAAATCCAACATCAACCTAATCAATCTATCAATTAGCATACGAGGCTCATTTCCATTGTAGTAAGGGACTTTTTAAAAATTTTCATAAATGAAATTATTATTATTATTAATTTTTTTTAAGAGTATCAATGAAATTGTTAGTGTTTACCTCTTGACAAAAGTTTAATCTTGTTCGTCTTTACGTATGTCCCACCTTATACGAATTGATTTACTATTATCAAAACCAAATGGGTCATCAACTTAATTATCAAATATAAGACAATTTTAAATCTTGAGTTGTACAAAGCCTAACTCGGGATCACCGGCCTCTTTGATATTTTCATGATCATGATTCATGAATGCTCATTTGAAGGAAATGGAGCTAATAAATAAGAGGCAGCAGGTGTGTAAACTGTTTGAATATATGAATGAAGGGAAAAACAAGGAAGAAGAAAATGAAAGGGCATAATTTTCAAAAATAAATGGGCTAGGTAGCTGTGAGAGAATGGTGGGAAATTGAAATGACTTTCTTGGATCCTGTGAGAGACAGTGTGTACTGTTGCTCATATTCATCAATTTGATATGCAATATAAAGGAAACAAAGAATGATGAAAAGTAAGAGCAAAAGAAAAGGAAAGAAAAACAAAATCCAAGAAAACCAAAAGTATTTGGATATCAGACAAAGGTAGAATACTGAAGAAAAAGAGAGAGAGAAACAAAAATTTAAAGCAAGGGAGAGGAGAGAGAGAGAGAGAGAGAGAGAGGAGGAGGAAGATGAAGAAGAAGAAGTACCTGTAGTTATAGTTATAGTTCCTTCTTTCTTTCTCCTTCCTTGCTAATTCCTCCATGTCCACCAACCAAAACCCACTGAAGAGAAATCAATCATCATCATCATGAAACACCCTCTGCACACAGCACTTCCAAAAAGCACTTCTCTCGTTCATCAAAACCTTCATTTCCTTATATTTCCCTCTCTTCTCCTTCCCTTCTTCTCAGCAACCACATCAACTCATCAGTCCAGTACTCCCAAGCCATGAAACCTGCAGAAGATTATTGTAATTTCCTCATTTTCTTTATCGCCCTGGTTCTTCTGATCACCCCCTCTGCAATTGCAACAGCCCTACCACTCCAACTTCTCTCCCTGCTTTCCCTCAAATCCTACCTCAGAGATCCACTCTCCAGCTTCCATGACTGGAACCCCGCCCCCACCTTCTCCAAAGCCGATTTTCAAGACCCAATTTGGTGTTCATGGTCTGGAATCGAATGTCATCAGAATTCCGCTCAAATCACCTCCCTCGATTTGTCCTTCCGTAATCTCTCTGGCTCAATTCCCCCCGAAATCAGGTACTTGACGAGCTTAATCCACTTGAATTTGAGTGGAAACAGCTTCGTTGGCTCTTTCCCCACCGCCATTTTCCAGCTCACTCAGCTTCGAACTCTCGATATCAATCACAACAACTTCAGCTCCACGTTCCCGCCAGGGATTTCCAAGCTCAAGTTCTTGAACGTCTTCGATGCCTTCAGCAACAACTTCACCGGTCCACTACCGCAAGAACTTCCCCACCTTCGGTTCCTCGAGAGGCTCAACCTCGGCGGGAGCTATTTCAGTGGCGGCATTCCGGCGAGTTACGGGAGTCTTTCACGGTTGAAGTATTTGCATTTGGGTGGGAACGTTCTTGATGGGCCAATTCCAGGGCAACTAGCTTACTTGACGCAGCTTGAGAGAATGGAAATCGGTTATAACAGCTTCTCCGGTGGAATACCGTCGGAATTTCCATTGTTGTTAAATCTGAAATACTTGGATATTGCCGGAGCTAATCTCTCCGGAACTCTTCCTCAAGACATTGGGAACATGACGAAGCTACAAAGTCTGCTTCTCTTCAAGAATCGCATCACGGGACAAATTCCGGAAAGTTTAGGAAATATGGTAGCGCTTGAGCAGCTTGATTTGTCTGAGAATCAACTTACAGGAACGATTCCGTTGGATTTGTATAACCTGAAGGAATTGACAAGGTTGAGTTTGATGAGAAACAATCTCAGTGGGGAAATTCCACAAGCAGTTGGCGATCTTCCAAATCTTGTCAGTTTGCAATTATGGAACAACTCACTCACTGGCCCTCTCCCTCAAAATCTCGGCGAAAACGACAAGTTGCTGCAAGTCGACGTGTCGTCAAACATGCTTTCCGGTCCGGTTCCGCCAAATCTCTGCCATGGAAACAAGCTCTTCAAGCTTATTGCCTTCTCGAACAGACTAGAAGAAGAACTTCCCGCCTCTCTAATGAACTGCACCTCTCTGTCTCGCCTTCGAATCCAAAACAACCGCCTCAACGGCTCCATCCCTTACGGCTTCGGACTGTTACAGAATTTGACGTTCGCCGACTTGAGCAACAATAACTTTTCCGGCGCGATTCCGGCTGATTTTGGTAATGCAGTTAAGTTACAGTACTTAAACATTTCGCAGAACTCCTTCGGAACTTCCTTACCGGATAACATCTGGAATTCGACGAGCTTACAGATCTTCTCGGCGAGTTCTGCCAAAATCGTCGGCAACATCCCCGATTTCATCGGCTGTAGATCCATCTACAAGATCGAACTCGAGGATAACAACTTAAACAGCAGTATTCCATGGACAATTGGTCACTGCGAAAAGTTGCTCACTCTGAATTTAAGCCACAATTCCCTAACCGGCATTATTCCATGGGAGATTTCGACGCTTCCGTACATCACCGCCATTGATCTGTCACGTAATATTCTCACAGGTACGATTCCTTCAAACTTCCAAAACTGTAGCACAATCGAGAGTTTCAACGTGGCATACAACAACCTCACCGGTCCTATTCCATCGACCGGAACCATATTCCCCGGTTTACATCCATC